ACTAATGTCATTTATCTGTTGACTTGTGTGTGTCATAAACAGTATGTGGGAAAAAATTGTAGATCAATCAGAACGCGTATTATCGAATATCGAACATATGAGCTCCATTAGGAGAAAGGATATAAAATCTCTGGTAGCTTGTCATTTCAATGAAGCGGCACATTCCATAGCGGACTTGGATTTTACGGTAATAGAACATATACCACAGTTTCGAAGGGGTGGTGACATGGAACACTGTCTTTTACAAAGAGAATGCAAATGGATTTTTGATTTGAGATCTTTATATCCCCTTGGTATGAATGAGGAATTGGTTTTGAATTGTTTTTTTGTGATATATGTGTACAAGAAACATTTATAAGATCTATGGGTGAAATTATGTATGAAACATTTTTTGCATTTTACATTAATAATGTTGTATTAAGGTATTTTTGCATTGAGGAATTTTTTACAATTAAAATATATTTATAGGAATGTCTTAAGGTAAAATTGGATATATTGTATGGTGTTTTTGGGCCTGCATGCATATTATGATGTCCATGGTGAATATTGATGTTATAATGGGTGCAGGTGTGCACTAATCAGTGTGGGACTGAGGAAGAGCTTTTGACTAGAAAACGTTTTGCACTTTTCACTTTTGCACTTTACACTTTTTTACAGCCTCTGATTAAGCATTATAAACTGATGTTGTTAAAAATAATATGCAGGGGGAAACCAAGTCTTATGTTTGGAGGATGTCTTTCTTTTTGGGGGGGGGACATTTCACATTTTTGGGAGCTTGGGGATCCATCATAAAATTTGTGGCCCCCCCCCCCCCCCCCCCCCCCCCCATAAGGGTACTAAAACACCAAGGTTTTCTATGTGAATTAAAGAAAACAAGCAATATAAGCATTAGAAGAAGTTATTATTTTGATAAACATCAATCACAAATTATTCCAAACAATCAAAAACATCAAACAATCAAATAAACAAACTACTACTGATTACAACACTTCATGTATAAATGTTCCTCATATTGCATATTACCATATACTGTAAACCAACATCCAAATGACTGTGTGTCCGTGTTTGTGTGTATGTGTGTGCGTCACTGTGTGTTTGTGCCACTGTGTTTGTGTGTCACTGTTTGTGTGCCACTGTGTGTGTCATTGTGTGTGTGTGTGTGTCACTGCGTGTGTGTGTCACTGTTTGTGTGCCACTGTGTGTGTCACTGTGTGTGTGCCACTGCGTGTGTCACTGTGTGTGTGTGTGTCACTGCGTGTGTGTGTCTCTGTTTGTGTGCCACTGTGTGTGTCACTGTGTGTGTGCCACTGCGTGTGTCACTGTGTGTGTGTGTGTCACTGCGTATGTGTGTCACTGTTTGTGTGCCACTGTGTGTGCCACTGTGTGTGTGCCACTGTGTGTGTCACTGTGTGTGCCACTGTGTGTGCCACTGTGTGTGTGCCACTGTGTGTCACTGTGTGTGTCACTGTGTGTGTGTGTGCCACTGTGTGTGTCACTGTGTGTGCCACTGTGTGTGCCACTGTGTGTCACTGCGTGTGTGTCACTGTGTGTGTGTAACTGTGTGTGTCACTGCGTGTGTTAGTGCATGTG